CAGTGTCAATGTTTCTTGGCGCTGGGTCAGGCTCCGCCCACTCTCCTCCCCCACCGACATCAGCCGGCAGGGGAGACCTAATGCGCATGCGCAGCAATGGCCGCGCACATGCATCAGACCTCCCCATAGGAAAGCATTATTCAGGGCTTTCCTATGGGGATTTCGGCAACGCTGGAGGTCCTCACATAGCGAGAACACGGAAGTCCGTCTAGTGGCTGTCTGACAGACAGCCACTAGAGGAGGACTTAAAGGGACACTATAGTCACCAGAACAACTAAGGCTTATTGAATTTGTTCTGGTGAGTAGAATCATTACCTTCAGGCTTTTTGCTGTAAACACAGTATTTTCAGAGAAAATGCAGTGTTTACATTACAGCCTAGTGATAACTTCACTGGCCACTCCTCAGATGGCTGTTAGAGATCCTTCCTGGGTCATGGCTGCTTAAAATGCATCCAAACATTTAGTGTCTCCTCCCTCTGCATGCAGATACTGAACTTTCCTCATAGAGATTTATTGATTCAATTCATCTCTATGAGGAGATGCTGAATGGCCAGGGCTATGTTTGAATCATGCTGGTTCTGCCCCCGATCTGCCTCTTTGTCAGTCTCAGTCAATCCTATGGGGTAACACTTTGATTGGATTAGGCTACCACTTCAGATATTTGTGTTCCTGACCCTATAGTGATCCTATAACCCTGCAAGGTAGTTATTGCAGTTTTACACTTGCAGGGTTAAGGGACCATCCAATGGGCAGAAGTGGTTTGGGTGCCTGGAGTGTCCCTTTAAATTTGAATTCTCCCTTTAATAATTAACAGTTAAAGTGTGGAGACTATTATCCTTGGGCTTAGAGTTAATGGCATTCTTTTGACTGCCTTTGTAGAACCAGCTTTTCTAAATTTTTAAAAATGTTTGTATTCCTCCTTACTACTTTTTAAATAAATCCTGTTACTTACAACTACTGTTTCTATCTTAATTCTAGAAATTAATTTATTCATCAGCTACCGCACCTCAAAACTCCTCATCTACTATATACGTAATACTCTTACTTCAATCAAATATAAAATGCTGAACCTGCTTTATTCTATTTGTTTTACCTGTCCTAGCATATAGTCTACCAAAGCTCTAATGTTTACAGACCAGGCTGCTGTGTAAGGGGAGGAGTGCCTGTTAGTGAGGCCTATGGCGTCGCAGAAGGAGGTAAGTGATTACCATGTGGGAATGCCACCACAATGAGATGCACCTGCCGGGTCCCAGTCCGCTCCCGGGCATGAGCGGACCCGGCGGGTGCCTGGAGACAGGGTAAGTATTCAGCGGCATTCCCTTTGTGACATAGGAATGCCGCCACAACGATATGCGCCCGCTAGGACCCATACCACTCGCTGGGAGGAGCGGACCAGGCGGGCAGCCTGACACTCGTTATCCATCAGAATATCTGTAGTTATTGTTATTGTGCCAGGTGTGTCCTGGCGCCTCCAAAGTAAGAAAGACAGTATTGAGCCCTGAAAGCTCCTGCTAGTAGTTTTAGTTATCTCTACTAAACTAAGCCTTGCAGCCAACTTTATGTCTGAACATTTCATCTGATGTCAACCAACATACTTAGCTAAGTGAATAGAGTTTCTGACTAAAGGGGGAGCCGGGGAGTGGAGCCTGATGGACCCGAGGTTAGAAGTCAAGCAATTTTTAAACAGTTTCAATACTTATATTGGGGGCTTGGGACTCCTGGCCCGATAGCTAGTACAGTGTGCTATAGTGGTTAAGGTGCTTGGATCATTCCTTTAACACAGTACTGAATAAAAGGTTAATCGTTCTATATTCTGTACAGATATTTTGGATGGAACAATAGTGAAACTTCCTCATTGTGTTGTACCGTGTGAACAGATGGTTGGTTATTGGTGCTAAAGAATCTTTTTACCAAACCACTTGAATAGTTCAATAGTTTGACAAAAACATAATTATCACAACAATATCCTGTAAGTGGTTGCTGTGCTTAGAGAGTGCTTTTTAATTATTAATGTAATAATTATTTCAATAATAATCAAATGCTGTCAATAAGAATATTTTGGCTAAATATGCTACAGGGAGTGCAGAATTATTAGGCAAATGAGTATTTTGACCACATCATCCTCTTTATGCATGTTGTATTACTCCAAGCTGTATAGGCTCGAAAGCCTACTACCAATTAAGCATATTTGGTGATGTGCTGAGAAGGGGTGTGGTCTAATGACATCAACACCCTATATCAGGTGTGCATAATTATTAGGCAACTTCCTTTGCTTTGGATAAAATGGGTCAAAAGAAGGACTTGACAGGCTCAGAAAAGTCAAAAATAGTGAGATATCTTGCAGAGGGATGCAGCACTCTTAAAATTGCAAAGCTTCTGAAGCGTGATCATCGAACAATCAAGCGTTTAATTCAAAATAGTCAGCAGGGTCGCAAGAAGCGTGTGGAAAAACCAAGGCGCAAAATAACTGCCCATGAACTGAGAAAAGTCAAGCGTGCAGCTGCCACGATGCCACTTGCCACCAGTTTGCCCATATTTCAGAGCTGCAACATCACTGGAGTGCCCAAAAGCACAAGGTGTGCAATACTCAGAGACATGGCCAAGGTAAGAAAGGCTGAAAGACGACCACCACTGAACAAGACACACAAGCTGAAACGTCAAGACTGGGCCAAGAAATATCTCAAGACTGATTTTTCTAAGGTTTTATGGACTGATGAAATGAGAGTGAGTCTTGATGGGCCAGATGGATGGGCCCGTGGCTGGATTGGTAAAGGGCAGAGAGCTCCAGTCCGACTCAGACGCCAGCAAGGTGGAGGTGGAGTACTGGTTTGGGCTGGTATCATCAAAGATGAGCTTGTGGGGCCTTTTCGGGTTGAGGATGGAGTCAAGCTCAACTCCCAGTCCTACTGCCAGTTCCTGGAAGACACCTTCTTCAAGCAGTGGTACAGGAAGAAGTCTGCATCCTTCAAGAAAAACATGATTTTCATGCAGGACAATGCTCCATCACACGCGTCCAAGTACTCCACAGCGTGGCTGGCAAGAAAGGGTATAAAAGAAGAAAATCTAATGACATGGCCTCCTTGTTCACCTGATCTGAACCCCATTGAGAACCTGTGGTCCATCATCAAATGTGAGATTTACAAGGAGGGAAAACAGTACACCTCTCTGAACAGTGTCTGGGAGGCTGTGGTTGCTGCTGCACGCAATGTTGATGGTGAACAGATCAAAACACTGACAGAATCCATGGATGGCAGGCTTTTGAGTGTCCTTGCAAAGAAAGGTGGCTATATTGGTCACTGATTTGTTTTTGTTTTGTTTTTGAATGTCAGAAATGTATATTTGTGAATGTTGAGATGTTATATTGGTTTCACTGGTAATAATAAATAATTGAAATGGGTATATATTTGTTTTTGTTAAGTTGCCTAATAATTATGCACAGTAATAGTCACCTGCACACACAGATATCCCCCTAACATAGCTAAAACTAAAAACAAACTAAAAACTACTTCCAAAAATATTCAGCTTTGATATTAATGAGTTTTTTGGGTTCAATGAGAACATGGTTGTTGTTCAATAATAAAATTAATCCTCAAAAATACAACTTGCCTAATAATTCTGCACTCCCTGTACAGCTGTATTTTCAGATTAAGAAGTAATGTGTTATTCTCTATACTGTAATGCTTTTAACTCTAGAGGCATTATTAATTGACATGTAATATTTTGATTTAATTTGTGCATTTTATTTGTTATTTTGTTGCTTCTTCATTCTGCCTAAATAAAAATAAATTATTTTTCAAAGTAATGTTTTTTTTATTTATCTGATTCATGTTTAATTTTTGTTCTCCTGTGAAACATTTGCATTTAATAACCAAAACTTTACATCACTTGAATTTGCTTTACAGACTAATATAAGTTTACACTAGAATATATTTGAGATCGGCCTAACCAAGATTTACAATGAAGACAGAGAGTTAAATAAACTAATTGGAGAGTTAAATAAAAACAGAATATTCCTATGGGCGGTTTTCACCAGTTTGAGATACAAAACTGGAATCTGTATTCTCAAATGCACAGTACATTTACTAAGCAGCTAAGCATTTGGGAATACATATTCCAATGCTAATCTATGTAACACATGTCTTAGTCTGGTGAAAACAACCCACAGGAGACTGGACATTTTAATTCTCCAATATCTGTCCCATTTTGTTTCCTCGATATATAAAATTTATGATAATATCGTTGCTAAAGAGCAGCAACATCAATGAAAATCAAATAACAGATACACAGTAACACATAACGAAAGAAAAATAAGGGTCCAGATAGAAGTCAAGAAAGGCAAGGGAATTAAAAAAGAAAACAAAAAAAAAATCTCAGTGGGACTCAGAAATAAAAGACAAATGGCGTAGGCTTTTCTTCGGAAATGAAACCGTCTCAAATTGAGCACTGACGTACACTTATAGAAATGAGCTGGCATGTAGGTGGGGGGAGATAGAAATCCTAAGAGAAAAGAAATTATGGAAACAGGGCAAATGACGAAAGAGACTGAGCGAAAAAGATGAGTCGAATAGTAGGCGATGAAGACTTTATATTTTTACAAAAAATTAAATACATTTAACCATTGCCGCAGCTAAACACGATTTAGTTAAAATCTGTGCGTGACCCAAAAATGCTATATTACAGTTTCTCATATTTCATCATATGTGTATAGTAAAGCAACAGCACATTACTTAACCATAAAATGTCTAAGCTCTGGACACTTGATTTGATCTACTGTTCTATATAGTTCCCAAAAGAGCGATTAAAATGACTAATCACAATAAAACTTAACTACATATAAAAAACTAAACTGAACTACTACACATACACACTTACTATACAAATACATTTAATTGCTTAAAACAGAAAGTGAAAGTGTTGTAACATGAAACGCTCGTTGTTTTTTCTTATCCGTTTACAAAACCAAAAAACAAATAAAGCTGACATTTTTGTATGTAGTTTGCGTCCAATTTACACTCTGTTATGATTACCATAACTTAGGTCCAGCTTCAACCACATATGCAGTTTGTTTTCTTTTTTTCTGGATCTTCTAGATTATAGTGCTTTTGTTCAGTTCGCTTATATCTGCAAAAATTAGGCATTCCATATATCTGCAAAAATTAAGCATTCTGTAGGTTTCAGCAACACCTATGTAATGTCTTATTAAACTGACTAATTGTTTGCCATAGTACACTTAAGAATAAAACTGAAAAAGATCAAACTGCATGATCAAACAATATAAAAATCACTGCACTGTACCTGTCTGTCAATATTTGCTTCTGGAGGTCTTCTTTGCTCTTAAAATGTTATAATCCAATTTATTTGCTTGTAACATACGCCAAAATGTCCTCGATTTAGACATCTTTTCCTTGAACCCTTCTTTGAGCCACTGCAAATGCAGGCAGTCTGTAGAGCAAGTAAACTCTGCTCCAACAATTGCTTTCACTTTTCATTCTTTAACATACTGCAGCTGGAGATTGTTTTTTTTTTTTTTTTTGGAACTGTAAATGAAACATCTTAACAATGTCTGTTCTACATTTAAAGATGTGTCTAAGAATCTTAGACCTTGTACCCTGTGAAAAATACATTTGAAACACAAAAGCTTCACTTTAAGTGGAAAGCTAAACAAGGACATTAACAAACACCCCAATGTTTGGAAATGAGAATAAAATTGTATATTTAGATCAAAATTGCCAAAGTTAAAAATTCTGCCACGTTTACAAATTGCATTAAAATTCACTAACCGGGAGACTGACAAGTGGATTTAATATTTATATATATATATTTTAAAAGTTTTATTTGTACAAAACGTATAGTACAGAAATAAGACATGAAGTAAACATGGTGGGTGAATGAATACATGAAGGGTTACATGAGGTAAGCACAAGTCCACATTGCGAAACCAAAGGAGAGTCTTCATTCGCCGTCATGTCTTTAAATATCAAATATGTAGGAGCAACATGGTATAACCAATAACCTTAAAAACACTTAGAGGTATGGGAGTATGCATGTATGGGGACCCGCCGGGGCACTTTTGGGCTTCGGTCTTCAATCTTCAAATAGTGTGATAACCCATGGGCTAGTCATCTTCTGGAATCAGGTCTCAGTTTGTGTAATTTGGCCTACTCCAATGTGTATAGGGTCTGTGTGGTGCACCGTATGGGGCATGTGTGTAAAATGTGTAATGGGTTTTTTCTCACGTTTGTCGCCAATGGCATGTGGTGACATGAGAACTCTTTTCTTGTAGTTGTCGGGCAGATTTTTTGCGACGTGAGGTACGATTTGGAGTGGTGTACATGTTCGTCTTCCGTGTTTGGCAGCTACTACTGTAGCTTTTAGGATTGGAGGTGAATAAAGACACCAATTGTGTGGTCTCTATACTAGTGGGTTGTGGGGTGCCCCCCTAGGCTTGTCGGCCCGGGGTGTGTTGAGTTGGGATATGCGATGGTGACCTGATTGTTCCGTGTGCGTGTGCCGCTTGAATACCTCATCCTAGTGTGGTTCACAGATGTGGATAATTTCGGGTGTATGGGACTCGGAGATAGGGGCTGGGTGGTGTGTGGGGGGTGAGGATGGGTTGTGGGCAGATTGGAGTCGATTCTAACTATTGCCTATGTGCTGTGTGTAGTTTTCCCCTACCTAGGGATTTGGCATGTACGAGTTGTAGGGTCTTGTTTGGTCATGAATTTCTCCCATGGTCTCCACACCTCCTGAAAGATAGGAAATTTGTGGGTTATGGATGCATGAATTTCTTCCATGGTTTTAATTCCATCTACTTTTGTGATCCATTCCCTAATTGTGGGGACATCAGGAGATTTCCTTTTTGCTGGGATGAGGGAGTTGGTTGCTGTGAGAAGATGCGCGACTAGTGTGCGTAGTGGCCTCGGCAGGTGTGTGTGTGGGATTAGAAACAGTTTGGCGTGAGATGTTGATTTAAAGGACCACTATAGGCACCCAGACCACTTCAGCTTAATGAAGTGGTCTGGGTGCCAGGTCCACCTAGGATTAACCCTTTCTGCTGTAAACATAGCAGTTTCAGAGAAACTGCTATGTTTACTTTAGGGTTAATCCAGCCTCTAGTGCCTGTCTTTTTTGACAGCCGCTAAAGGCGCTTCCGCACTTTTCACTGTGATTTTCACAGTGAGAAGACGCCAGCATCCATAGGAAAGCATTGAGAATGCTTTCCTATGAGACTGGCAGAATGCGCGCGTCTCTTGCCGCGCATGCGCATTCAGCCAAGGAGGAGGAGAGTCTCCAGCACCGAGGAAGCCCGGCGCTGGAGAAAGGTAAGTGTTTAACCCCTTCCTCTCCATCCAGCCCGGCGGGATTACTTAAGTCATATGGTTACCTAATCCTTAAAGCAGCACAATTGCTACATTCTGCAGTGGGTTTAGTGCCAGCCTCCATACAGTGAGGGAAAAAAGTATTTGATTTCCAACAGATTTTGAATGTTTGTCCAATGACAAAGAAATGACCAGTCTATAATTGTAATGGTAAGTGTATTTTAACAGTGAGAGACAGAACAACAACAATAACCAAACAAATCTAGAAAAATGCACGTGAAAAAATGTATAAATTGATTTGCATGTCAATGAAATAAGTATTTTATCCCCTATCTTAAAGAGAGTGCTGCTAATCACAGTTCGTTACCTGTATAAAAGACACCGGTCAACAGAAGCAATCATATTCCAAACTCTCCACCATGGCCAAGACCAAAGAGCTGTCCAAGGATGTCAGGGCAAGACTGTAGACCTACACAAGCCTGGAATGGGCAACAAGACCATCACCAAGCAGCTGGGTGAGAAGGTGACAACAGTTGGTGCAACTATTCGCAAATGGAAGAAACACAAAATAACTGTCAGTATCCCTCCGTCTGGTGCTAAATGCAAGATCTCACCTTGTGTTTCAATGATCATGAGAACGGTGAGAAATCAACCCAGAACTACACGGGAGGATCTTGTAAATGATCTCAATGCATCTGGGACCATATTCACCAAGAAAACAATTGGTATCACACTACGCTGTGAAGGCCTAAATCCTGCAGCGCCCGCAAGGTCCCATCGGTCAAGAAAGCACATGTACAGGCCCGTCTGAAGTTTGCCAATGAACATCTGAATGATTCAGAGGAGAACTGGGTGAATGTATTATGGTCAGATGAGACCAAATTTGAGCTCTTTGGCATCAACTCAACTCGCTGTGTTTGGAGAAGGAGGAATGCTGCCTATGACCCCAAGACCACCACCTAAAACCTCAAACCACCTATGGAGGTGGAAATATTATGCTTTGGGTTTTTTTTTTTGCTAAGGGGAAAGGAAAACTGCACCGCTTCAAAGGGTCGATGGACGGGGCCATGTACCATCAAATCTTGGGTGAGAACCTCCTTCCCTCAGCCAGGGCATTGAAAATGGGTTCTGGATGGGTATTCCAGAATGACAATGACCCAAAACACACAGCCAAGACAAAAAAAGAGTGGCTCGAGAAGAAGCACATTAAGGTCCTGGAGTGGCCTAGTGTCACATCCTGTTCCTGGCTGCAGATTTTTTCTGGCAATGGCTTCTGGTATCCAGTACACTTTTTTCAATTCTTGTTTAGTTTTTCTTGTTTTTTCTGGTTTTCTATTATATGTCTGGTTTTCTTTATGCTGGGTTTTCTGGGTTCATCCCTTCATTCTGTTCCTGGAATTCCCAGGCTCTTGGATTCCTTTAAATGTTTGTGTTTTGTTGCCACACCCGTTTCTTTGCCAATCCTTTTTGTTTCAGTCTGTTCCTGCAGGCAGTGGTTTCATTTCCTCTGCTCCTTTCCTTGCAGGTAAGTACTGTGTGTGTTTTATTATTGTACTTTTAGTCATGCATATCTAGGCAGTTTGGACCCACTGTAATTGGAGTACTTTGGCGCAGTGGTGGGCTGCATACATCTTGGCCATTTACATATGTCTAAATCTCCAATGTTTATTACATATATAGTACTTAGTTATTTCTCCTCTTGTTTTGCCTTGTATCTCTTATCTTGTATTCCCAGTTCATGTACAGTCCTGTCCTGTCCATGTCTTGTTCATGTTTCCTTCATGTATTGTGTACATGTTCTGGGTTCTGCTTTCTGTCCTGCTCCGGTTATGGGTTCTTCTAGTCTCCTCTTGCTATCTTGTTTGGTGCCTGTTCTCATCTTGCCTTCTTTCTAGTACTGGATACATATCTCCTGCAGAGCCTCCCTATTCAGATCCTGGGAGGTCTGCATATTATCATCTAGCATCTCGGATCCACAGAAGCTTCATCAGGGCTCTAGTATGTGGCCACACAAACGCTGGTGCTCAACACCAGGGGGTGTGTGGTTACCCGGCTCTAGGCCCTGATAGTCCACTTCCACACTGTGACTCCTATCATCATCAGGCATACAGGGTTTCCAGTCTTCGGACCGCCACCCGTGACACCTAGCCAATTTCCAGACCTTAATGCCATAGAAAATCTGTGGAGGGTTCTGAAGGTTCGAGTTGCCTCGAAACCTTAAAGACTTGGAGAGGATATGCAAAGAGGAGTGGGACGAAACCCCTCCTGAGATGTGTGCAAACCTGGTGGCCAACTACAATAAACATCTGACCTCTCTGATTGCCAACAAGGGTTTTGCCACCAAACACGAAGTCGAAGGGGCAAATACTTATTTCAGACATTGACATGCATTGTGAGTTAAGCCCCAATACAGCACCCACTGTCCCATGTAGCGAGTCATATAGCCAGGTGATGGCGATTACTCACGGCAGATCAAGGGGGGCATACACATCACCACGCCCGCCTCCCATATGGTTGAGGGTCAAAATTAGAAAAGCTTGCTTTGCCATAGTTTTCCATAAGGGCCCCGAACACTCACTATAGTAGGGTTCCCACATGCTAGCCTCCAAGCGGGGAATACCCGAAATAGTGGTCATACTCAGGGGACAAGCACAAAGCTGAGGGTGGCAGACGGCAACCAAAATAGTTTAGTCTGTGTGGAGAGGGCCTTGGCGGCGTACCTGCCTGTTTGGTGACTACCAAATACCACCAAGGGAGCTGTGAGGTCTCACTCAGCACGTCAGAAACCATTGTAGATCGCCGGAGGGCGACCAGACACACCATTCTGGTCACGGAATGACCAGTATTCTTTCCAGTAAGTCTTTGCTACTTTTCCATTTCTTTCGCTCTATCCAATTTTTTTTTGCCTGCAGAGGCTACGAGTAAGGAGGGTGGAGGGAGGGGGGGACAGACGTGGGCACTGTCAGGGGTTGTACACAGCCCACACTACAAATCATGAGATTGATATCCCACAATGTTAAGGGGCTTAATGACCCATCTAAACGGCACGCGCTGTATAGGGAAACTACCCAATTGAAAGGCGATATTATATGTTTGCAAGAGATGCACTACAAAAACCACGACCTCTGCCGATTCCAAGTTAGAAAATTCCAGCAC